AAACGCGTATTTGTTTTAAATTGCTTATCGTTTACATGCAGCGTTATAGTGATACATATATATATATATATATATTGTCCGAAACTAAATGTGCCCTGTAGGCTTTTTTTTTAAAATCTTTCCAAGAAACGTGATTTCAATTATTCTATTCGGAAATGATTTCTTTATCGCGTAATTTCGACGAATAAAAGAATGAATTATATAATTAGTATATGCGATATGTAAAAATTATATGAGTCATGAGAAAATGTTGAACAAAACACGTTAATAATAATGACAGAAATGTCGTGTAGCAAGTAAACAAGAAAGATTTATGTGTGTTATTAACGGGCCCCCTGCACAAAAAGAAATTTATTCCCAAATCAAGTCAAATTTTCATATATATATGTCTTCCATTGTATGTAAAATAGAAGAAAGAGATATTCTCCAAACATCCCATTTATCCTTATTATTGGTGTACAGGAAGACGACGTGTTTGAGTTCCATTTTTATCATCATCATCGTCACCCGGGCTAATTATCTTTTTTTTCTACACTATTTTTATTAACAGTACACACTTTTTGCACGACTACTACCTACACAACCACAACCAACATTATTTCCCTCTTTGACTGAACAAAACCGGGTCCCAATTTCAACAGAATGAAGAATAAAGTGGAACTAGAAAAAACTTATTGTGTCTATATTTTGCGAAATATGAACAAAAGTAACGGGTCTTGTATTGGATACACTAAGGACCTTAAGGTAATATAAATATATATGTATGTGAGATATTACGAATCTATACGAAATGGTGAATTGTGAAATGGGAATCTCGAGATTTCTATGGGTTTGAAAGATTTATGCGTTATAAGGGACATCCCTTTTCGTGAATTAAGATGTTTTAAATCATTTTTAGGCTATGATTTCTTGTGAAATAGTATACAATTTATACATTGTGACTCTTAAGTATACACATAGTCACATATATATATATATATATATATATGTGACTATGTGTATGTATATATATATATATATATAATTAGATGTATACATATAAACATACTAATAATAAAAAACTATACCTTACAATTCGACAGAGCCGAATACGCCAATACAATGGACAACTCGATAACGGAGTAAGGACAGCACGAGGGAGTAGATGGGTACCTGTGCTAGCAATAACAGGATTCGCGAGCAAGAAGGATGCAACACAATTCGAATCAAGCGCCAAAGAACTAGCCAAAAAGCGAGAATTTAATGAATACGCGACACTCTATCAAGGCAAGTGTCCCGCCACTGTGGTGAAACGGATTCTTGCGGCTCGTTGTCTGTTGTGTGAACAGGATCGATGGTGGACCGGATC